ATATCTTTTCCATATAATATTATCTAAATATCTTTTTATTTATCATTAATTTGTTTGGTTTTCAGGCTTTTCAGTGAATCTTTTCAAGAGGACTTGGAGACAATATTCAATGCATTACCACAGAAGAGACAAAACCTGTTGTTTTCTGCCACAATCACTGAGGACGTAAGAGAGTCAAAGTTGCTTCCACTAAATAAAGAGGTATGTGTTATTATAATTAATTATCTTCTTGTAAGTGGATAATAAATGTATGTTATTTCCCTGCTCCCTTTTTAATTTTATACATCCAGTAAATAATTACTTGTTTTTATTCTTGATAGGTATATGATTAGTTAATCCCCACCAAACAGACGTTCTCTGTTTGATGGGGTCCACACATCAAACAGAGAACGGGCAGCAGCGCTCTCTGAAAAACATCAATCTTTTAAACTGCGATCTCCAACCCGCCTGCCAAGCGTGGGGATTATGGCAAAACCCTCCACTATAGTGGAGGAGGCTCATAGTCCAGCAGTGGACTGTAAAGGGCTGTTGATGATGATGATGATGAGGTATATGATTAGTATTCATAGTACTCTAGCTCAGTCTACTCAGGTTAGACTAGTCAAGTTTTGGATTGATGTAGCTGGCTTTGTAAAAATTCACAGGAGAGGACTTTTTGTGTGATGATATCTCCAAATATAATGTATTATTATAGAACTAGCGGCCGCCCGCGACTTCGTACGCGTGGATCCCGTTTTACCCCCTTCATCTATCTTACGCGGTTTAGATTTTTTCATACATTTTTTTTCCCGCTAACTCCCGTTCCGGTGGGAATTTTGTAATATCCTGTTGTAACTAAGCTTTATGTTTACTAAGGTACCTGCATGCCAAATTTCAAGCGTCTATATTACGCGGTTTAGATTTTTTCATACAAATGTTTTTTCCCGGTAACTCCCGTTCCCGTGGGAATTTTGCAATATCCTGTTGTAACTAAGCTTTAAGTTTACTAAGGTACCTGCATGCCAAATTTCAAGCGTCCAACTCAAGCGGTTTAGATTTTTCATACAAAAGGATTTTCCCGCTAATTCCCGTTTCCGTGGGAATTATTAAGTATCCTATAACCTGCCCAGGAGTATGAAGAATAATTGTACCAAGTTTCGTCAAAATCAGTTGAGTAGTTTTTGTTTCTATAAGGAACATACAGACAGACAGACAGACAGACAGACAGACAAAAATTTTACTGATTGCATTTTTGGCATCAGTATCGATCACTAATCACCCCCTGATAGTTATTTTGAAAATATATTTCATGTACAGAATTGACCTCTCTACAGATTTATTATAAGTATAGATGAACACAACATTTCTCAGAGAAATAACTAATATGTAATTTAAAATAACATCAGATTGTTTAAACCTTCTTAGTTAAGAGATAGTACTCTTATATGAGTCAAGCACACAATGAGTTTTGACTCCGCAAAGATTTCGCCATATCGCGCAGCGCAGCTTTCGTGTGTCCGCCTCATATTTCTATGTTAAGGTACAAGTCCAAGATGGACTGCAGACCGCAAACTGCAAGCCACCACGGTTTCTTTGACTTTTTTGTATTCACTACGGTCAACCGCAGCCTCTTGCCACAGCGTCGCCTGCGGTTGCAGTCTGCAGTCTATCTTGGACTCGATTCCTAAGACGACGCAGCGTCACCGCTCCGGCGTCGCACCGCCGTCTAAACGCGTCGTGTACTCTGGCTTTTACGATACATAAAGCGATTCTTTTTCCATCAGAAACTGCTAATATGGACGGAGTCAGACCCTCAGCTGACGGTGTCCACGCTAGACCAGCGGTACGTGGTGTGCCCGGCGTATGCCCGCGACGTCTATCTCGTGCAGACGTTGCGGAAGTACCGCGAGACCAAGCCCAGTTCGCACATCATCGTGTTTACGGATACTAAGAAGTGAGTCATCTGAGTACCTAACCTAAGGCCCAGTTTTCACCAAGGAGAAGCGCGGGGAAGTGACGGGCGGACTAATTTTTTCGAATTTCTATAGAATTTGACAGCGGCGTTGGCGCGGATCTGAGAAGAGAAGTGGAAATATTAAAATCTGATTGGTTATTCAAAGCACTTTTCCGCTACTCTCGGCTCTGCTCCACCTTGGTGGAAAACGGCCCTGATAACATTATTTTCCTTCTTGTGTTCATTATTAAATGATGGTGTGATTTAAGTAAATTTGGTATCAATTTAAAGTGAAAAGTTTAATCTTTAAAATGGTGCCATTTTTTTGTTACTAACAAATTAGTTAACAATTAGAAACAATTTCATGTAAATGATTCCATACTTTTGCTCGCGAGTGTAGTTTGTCCACCACCACACACAAATGGTTGTGGTGTGATCAATATTACAACCCGGTCAGGTTAACTGCGCATCTTGCAGGAATGCAACTAGCTGAGACTGAGACCTTTTGCTGCCGCAACTCTGCTCACATGATTTCATTTCTAATTGTTATTTATTTTATTTTTTATTTTGAATGTGCATGTTAAATATTGAATTGCGTATTCTTGTTGAACTTTGTATGTGACTTTGTGTGCAGCAAATAAATGCTTACTTACTTACTATCCCTCGCACACACCTGTACACCTCCCCGCGATCGCCCCATTCGTACTAGATCGTCGATGTGACGTCACGGCTGTCAGGTGCGCAGTTAACTCACCGGATTGTAAACATAACAATGATCCAAAGATTTCTCGGTCATATACCAAAGTTAATTATCTATTGCAGAGAATGTCAAGTGATCTCGATGATGATGAACGCCATAAGCATGGACAACGTGTGCCTACACGGGTTCATGCGTCAAAGAGAGCGCAGCGCCGCCCTAGCGCAGTTCCGGAGCAACCTGAAGTGCACGCTCGTGGCAACTAATGTGGCGGCGCGAGGTCTCGACATACCTTCTGTGGACCTGGTGGTTAATCATAAGCTACCGCTAGAACCTAAGGAGTATGTGCACAGGTGAGTGGTCCCAGCGATCTGAAGCGCACGCTCGTAACAACTAATGTTGCTGCGCGAGGCTTGGACATACCTTCTGTGGACCTGGTGGTTAATCATAAGTTACCGCTAGAACCGAAGGAGTATGTGCACAGGTGAGTGGTGTAGTTATTGTAGCATAGTTCCGGAGTAACCTGAAGCGCACGCTCGTGGCAACTAATGTGGCGGCTCGAGGTCTCGACATACCTTCTGTGGACCTGGTGGTTAACCACAAGCTGCCACTTGAGCCGAAGGAGTATGTGCACAGGTAAGAAGTGTAGTTATTGTAGCACAGTTCCGGAGTAACCTGAAGTGCACGCTCGTGATAACAAATGTTACGGCGCGAGGCCTCGACATACCTTCTGTGGACCTGGTGGTTAATCACAAGCTACTGTTAGAACCTAAGGAGTATGTGCATAGGTGAGTGGTGTAGTATTACTGTAGTGCAGTTCCAGATAAATCTGAAGCGCACGCTCGTGGCAACTAACGTGGCGGCTCGAGGTCTCGACATACCTTCTGTGGACCTGGTGGTTAATCATAAGCTACCGCTAGAACCTAAGGAATATGTGCACAGGTGAGTGAGTGGTCCCAGCGATCTGAAGCGCACGCTCGTAACCACTAATGTGGCCGCACGAGGCCTCGAGACATACCTTCTGTGTGTACTGTCTGTGTTGTAGTGGCAATAAAGCCAGAATTTTAATAGTTCATCAAAAGTATCTCCATCCATCTCCATGGTTTTGGTTGACGTCTCCAGTTCGCGATTGTACGGTACAACTTTTTATTTACTTCTAAATTGCAGCAACCATACAACTGTATGGTCCTTCGAGCCGGATTGATGTTGATTTCAAAGTTACTAGAATTTTACAGCATTCGAAAACTAACACTAGAGGGGCTAGAAATAAGTGTTTTTTAAGATGTGTCTTGGAATGACTACCCTCCGTTTGTCCTCAGGGTGGGCCGCACGGCTCGCGCGGGCCGCAGCGGGCTGGCCATCTCGCTGATAACGCCGTATGACCTGCTGCGCCTCGGCGAGATCGAAGCACACATCAACACCAAGCTCACCGAGTACAAGATCGATGGTATGTTTCGACATAAGCGAGGCTAGGATGCGCGCTTTGATAAAACCTTATCGACAGTAATCACTTACCATCAGGTGATCCGTATGCTCGTTTGCCTCCTGTCACATAAAAAAAAGATGAGTTTAGATGACAAATGTATGGGCTTATCGTGAAAAATCGATAAAATGCCTCGATTAAAGTTTATTGTAGCGCGCATCCTAGTACGACCTGTTGCGCCTCGGCGAGATCGAAGCGCACATCAACACCAAGCTCACGGAGTACAAGATCGATGGTATGTGTCGACATAAGCGAGGCTAAGATGCGCGATAAAACCTTATCGATGGGTTTAGGCGACAAATGTATGGGCTTATCGTGTAAAAAATATAAAACACTTTGATATAAATTTATCATGGCACGCATCCTAGGCCTACTGGACATTTCGATCAGCTTTTTTAGGGGTACCTATGTGTCTAACAAAGGGTAATGAATGAAACATAAATGTTTACTTCAAAGTTCAAATATAATGAAAACCGATTCCGATTTGACATTTGACGCTACGAGGGCTGCACTAAAAGTATCGGGAATGGAATATTTCCACTGTTCCAGTCATATTAAAATCTATTTAATTGCAAACTCCAGGGTTTTAAAAATCGTATACCATTTATTTATTTAAAAAAAGATTCTCGGTCGTATCACAAGGTCTAGTCAAACTTGTTTAGTCGTTGAGAAAATGGAATTGACTCGAGAAAATTCAAGAGCGATGATTTATTATGACTTTCGGAGTGGTTTAACACAAAAACAGTGTGTTGACCGGATGATTTCTGCATTTGGTAATGAAGCCCCATCCAAAACCACAATTTATCGCTGGTTTCCTGAATTTCAACGTGGACGTGTCAAGCTCAGTGATGATCCCCGTCAAGGTCGTCCAAAAACTGCAGTCACCTAAGAAAACGTTGATGCTGTGCGTAAGCTGATTGAAGAAGATCGACATGTGATATACCGCGAAATTCAGGCAACTTTAGACATTGGCATGAGCCAAATACAAATAATCTTGCATGAACAACTAGGTGTAAAAAAGTTGTTTTCCCGATGGATACCGCATTCGCTCTGCGAAGAGCAAAAAGCGGCTCGCGTTACTTGGTGCGTCAGAACTCTCGGGAGATTACATGCAGGATCCTCAAATGCTGTATACAACATCGTATCAGGTGACGAATCATGGATATACGCGTACGAACCCGAAACAAAAAACCAGTCACGAGTTTGGGTGTTCGAAAATGAATTAAAGCCAACAAAAATTGTTCGTTCACGGAGCCCTCGTATTTGCAAAAGTTTTAGCATGTTCCAATATTATGATTCCTTTTGGCGGCTAATTCCACTATTCCCCATTGACAATCCCCGTCAACGGGGATTAGTGAACTTTTTGTTCACTATTCCCCGTTAGCGCCAATTGGCGCTTATAATGTTAAAAATAAAATCCTAATAGGTATAATGGGGAATAGTGAACAAAAAGTTCACGAGTGGAATAAGCCCTTTTGCCTGGCTTTAATGCGTTTTAGATGTTAGTCCCAAATAAAAAGTCGTAGTCGTAGTATTCCAGCACCATAAAATAGTAGTATTAATTAAAAGCTATTCTGTTTCCAGACGACGAAGCCGTGCGAGTATTCACGACAGTCAGCGTGACGCGCCGCGAGCAGGAAGCCAAGCTCGACAACGAGGAGTTTGAGCAGCGCGCGCGCAACTACCGCGTCAAGCGCTGGCGCATGGCCGGCGTGGACCCTGACCTCATGCAGGAAGGGTCAGTATCGCGCGGCGCTTGACTTTAATGTGGGCTTTACCAGGCCTGTTCATCTCCGCGAGTTTACATCGAAAACAAAACACGCACGATGGCCCCCTACAGGATACCATTCGACAAGGCCTCACATACGAGCGAACATTGACTCACGCACGCGTATTCTTGTGTATGATGGAAGAAAATTAAGAAAATGGTGCACTAAATACTGTGCAGTATTTAACTGCCTAAATAATAAAAACATAGAATGTACTTTTTTAAGTTGCCTCAAGACACTGAGAGGTAAATAAGTAGTTAATATTATTCATGATAATTCATACTAAATCATGTATTTCCTCCGCCATTTTCCGCAGTTTGGCACCTCACGTCACATCATTTTACCGAAGTCAGCCCTATAGCTTCGGCGCAGTGCCGATCATTGACGTTTGTCAACAAAATGGTGCTTGACTCTTGAGACAGGCTAAATTACACCATATTGTTAATGACATTGAGCATACATTTTTTTAAATACCTTCGCGAAGTAAACCTTCTGTACGTAGTACCACAGAATAATAATAAGTACTACGTACAGAAGTTTTACTTCGCGAATCT